GTGGGGGTGGTGGGGGGCTGGGGGTCGGTCCCCCAGCGTGGCCGTGCTCCCCGAACCTGCTTCCCCCTCCAGCTGCACTGCTGCGGGGTGCAGAACTACTCGGACTGGGAGAAGACCGAGTACTTCGCCCAGAGGGGCATCCCCCGGAGCTGCTGCAAGAGCCAGGACGACTGCTCGGAGGAGGATCTGAAAGACCCGAGCAAAGCCAAGCTGAAAGTCTTTGTGGATGTAAGTGAAGCTGGGAAAAATCCCCCTGCCAGTCCTGGAGGAAGGGAGGGCAGAGCTGGGTGGTGGCGAAGGGCTTGCCTTCCCCAGGAGGCTCTGAAGGAGAACTGCTCTAGGTGCGGCCTGGGGAATCCCCTGGGGTGGAGGCAGGGGAAGGGTGTGGAGCAATGAGCCCTGGTGTCTGAGGTCCTCCCGGCTCCTCCCTTGGAGGTCAGGGACCAGCCAGACCCAGGCGTTTGCGCCGGGGGCTGGAGAGCAGGTGAACAAGGAGCTCATTTCCCAGCAAAGTTCGTTTCGGCAGCGCTGACGTCTTCCGACAGCCGTGCAAAGTCCTGACGCGGCGCTGAGCGCGGGTGACCTCATCCGGCAGGGCCATCTGGGTGATGCAAGGGACGTTCCTCTGATGAGTCACCTTGCCCAGCCCCACGCTCCCCTTGGGAGCAGCCCAAGGGCAGCTCCGTGATAACGCAGGAGGGCGGCAGCCAGAAGCCCTTGGCATCTTCCCCCGGAGCTCTGGGGAGATGCCAGTTCCTGCTCTGGGCGGGTGGGAAGCACTGGACCCACGTGCTCGCTTTCCCTCCTCCGCAGGGTTGTTTTTTCCTGGTGACGTCAACCATGGAGTCCAAAATGAGCATTGTGGCTGGGATCTCCTTTGGCATCGCGTGCTTCCAGGTAACTCGCCCTGGCTGGCCGGCGCAGGGGTGCCGGGTGAAGCCGGCGTGTCTCGGGCCGTGTTTAACTGCTGCGCAGAGCCCGCGGGGTGTACAAAAGGCACGGCCCGCTGGTCGAGAAGAGCTCGCGTCTGAAGCGACCGACTTTGAGAAAACCCAGACGGAGCCTGTGCCGCGCCGGGCGAGCTCCCGGCGTTTGCTGTTGCAGGGATCAAATCTCACCCTTCCTTTTCCCACCCACCGTCCTCCCTTTCGGTCAGGGAGGCGTTTTGGCGTCGGTTCTGCGCGGCTGAGGCCCCGGGAGCGCCCGTGGGGCACCGCTCG